CCCCCCCCCTTATCAATTGCTGTTAGTTGATCATGTTTGTAGCTTCACAGTGTGCTTTTGGAGTGGATGTTCCTGACTGGCTGAAGTCAGATGGTTATGTGTCAGTAAGGAGAGAAGAGGATTGGCCCGTGAGTGGTGCGGATGGGCCCCGGGGCAGGTCTCAGGATTGCGTGGCTGAGAGGTGGGCCTTGCAAAATGTGATGAGGTGGATGGTGTGCGGAAGCAGCCGCGCGGAGAGCCAGTGGGTTTGAGGACGCTGCGGCGGCCATTGCTGCCGCAACCGCCAAAGGGTTGGGCAACAGCCCGGCACCCAAAGCTTTGGTGAGATCCTTGGAGAAGGTCAAAGAAGACTAAAAACAGAATCAATAACAGTACAAGACAAGAGAGAAAGGGGGGGGGGGGGTAACATTGATTAGTTTCAGAAGGTCAACACGTGCAAGTGAAACAACTGTATACCATGCACTTTTGTAATTCAGAAAGTTCAGTTAGGTTGAGGTAGGAGGATGAAGACAGAACACCTGATGGGCTTTTGTGGAGATCAAACCAACTCCAAAGCTTCACAACCTTAATGTCCTTAAGTATCACTGGCTATCTGATCTCTGGAGTTCAGGTGTGCTTTGTCATAGGAGCTAAAAATCAGCAGGAAAATGTTACCGTTAGATCAGCTCCCCTGTGCTTCTTGTGTCGGCTGAGGAGAGGGTTAGGCTTGCCCGCCATACCATCCCGGTGCCTTCGACTTGATATGTGCTAAAAATAAAGATCACAGCAAACTGCATTACTTTTCCTATTGCCTTACACCATGGACACTGACTGGAGAAAACATAATGAAAAAATACAGCTATGTAATTACACAATTGTTTAACTTGAATAAACATGAATAAAACAACATAATTTAAAATTTAGAAAATTGACCACTGAATTGATCTTGTGCTTAACAAAAAAAAAATCAAATCTAAATGCCTGTCTAATCTTTAGATTTTAGGTACAGAAATATATCCACTGCTACCTTACCTGTTTTAGTTGCAGTTCAGAGTTGACCCGCACATTGCAGATCTCACAGTGGAAGGTTCGTTCCTGAGTGTTGGGGTCCACCGGCCCTCCTCCCTGCTCTCCACTGGGCTTGGGGCCCAGGCGTGGATATGCCTTTATAGGGCCCAGCCCGCTCCGTGCCTCCAGGATAGTTTTGTGTTTCGTACCTGCACAGAAAGAAAGAATTTAAAAGCTAATATAATAAAATGAAATAATAAGGTGCCAGCGAAACATTAATTGTAACATATGAGTCATACTGCTTCCACCTGTCTGAAGTAAAATGAGACTGGACAGAATTTCTCTGTAGTTAACATTGCAGAACAAAGACAGTGAAAAGTGTCACATCATGGCAGAAAAAAAGAAACAACCACAACTACAATCCACTGGCTTGAATAACCACATAGCACAGCACAACAGAAAGAATGAATTCTGCCTGAAGTTGTAGAGCAAAGCTTTCCCCACAGGAGGGCAGCAGTCACCCATCTGTGCAGTTAGTGATCTGGAAGGTCAACTCAAAGCCTTTCTAATAATAACCTAATAATATAAGTGATTCATGATGTTTAACTCAGTGGAGTGCGTAGGATAAGGCCAAATAGTGTGTACTGTACAATATTACATCCATTATCCATGATCCACATCTGGCATTATCAATGAAAAAGTGAATCACTGAGCCTTTAATAGAACATTAAAAAACACTGACAATAAATGTCAGTGTTTGGAAATTTAGGAGCACATTTTTATGAGATGCAGGCTTGGTCTGCTCTTTAAATGGCTCTTCAATCAGGCATTTGTTATGCTGTAAGAGCATGGCACCCTGCTTTGTACCGTTTGAAGAGATCAGTATTATTCCAAACATTAACACTGCTGAGCAAAGAAACAGGGCAGGTTACATAGCAGATTGTAGCAACCAGACATATATTACTGAAGCTCCTAGAGCCGTTTCTCGGACATGAAGCCGTTTGACATAAAAAACAGATTAGCCCCTTTAGATGTTTGCTCGACAGAGCCCATTTGGCATGACGTTATCTACTCAGTCATGAGTCAAAAAATGAAAATAAATAAATAAATAAAAAGCTAATTTCCTATTAACAATATGTTCTTCATTTGGACAAGTCCTCGACTAGCTGCAGCTGCAAAAAGGACATCATAGAGAAATATGTTTTTGCATACTGCATATTATTGTGTGTGCTAAAATAGTCTCTCATTAAATAATCACACATTTTGTACTTGGATGAAACCTCCCACTCCATTTTACTGCAATGCTCCACTACACTGAAAAACAGCATTCCACTGTCTTTGGCTCTGACTTTGAAATACTAATTTGCCCCACTCCCTAAATTCCCTTTGAACAGTGTTAAGGTTACAGAAGTTGGACAAGTCATCTGGGTGGGGTGGAAGTGGGGAGCATGGAGGCTGTGGGCTTCAGTGTGGAGAAAGGTTTGCTTGTGGCCAAAAATGTGCTCTTGGGTGCCTGTTTTTGCTTTTGTTCTATTTTGGTCTGGCAATGGCTGGCCCAGTGGAATTTTTTTTTGTCTTTGCAAAGTTGACTCAGGGTGTAAACCAAACAAAAGGGGACAACATTGTTGCATGAATGTTACATGAAGTAACATGACTTACAAATCTTTATTCCTGTTTTCATGGTTTTGGGCAGGTCATGGTGTGCCACGCACACTGTTCATGTCTGGGTGTCTGTGTGACATATGCTTCCATTTTTGAACCCTGCTAATACACACAGCTCTGATTTTTAGAATGAGTGAACTTGATTGTTTCCAGATGGCTTTCCTCGTGCAGTTTTAGCTATTTCAACTTTTAGTCATTCAGGGTTTGAACTCTGGAGCCCACTGGGTGCCAGCAGGCTTTGACCCAGGATCATGTTTAAGCTGTCTATGATCTTTTTTAATAATATAAACACAGTAAATGTGCAAATGTTTTCTTGGAGACAGATACAACACAAAAATACTGATGTGTTTTTGGGAAATTGATAAACTAGTAATCAGAGGGTCAAAAAATATGAATTTCCAAAATATACAAAAGGTAATATATACATATTAGTGAATGCTATGGCAATATTATAAGTGCAGCATTTATCACCTGCTTTCATGTCTGACTCAGCTGGCTCAGGCTGAGAGTACTCTAAGCAGAGAGGAGTCAGTCCTTTATAAGGTTTATTTGGGGCCTCTGTCTGTGGTGAAGTTTAAGTGTACTTCATGCATGTGCATGTGCATATACTACACTCCCATAAGACAGATAGAAAGCCCAGCACATACATATTGTCCTGTGAGACATGCAGCAGCTATCCAAGTATGCAGTGCAGAAAGGATTATAGGATGCAGCCAGTTCCTCGAGGTATATGTAACCATGAAAGTGTTGTCATGTGAAAGCCGTCTGACAGAATATTTAAACCCATATTATGGTGAGCTCACCCACACAATAACCAACATTTCCTTTTATTTTCTCATTCATGCTGTGGTTTTAACACCTTAAACATCACATTTCTTCTGGATGCTCCCCGCTGCTAAAATCGGATCTTTCAGCAGGGAAGGTATATTTACACTAATTGTGCCAAGAGTAAAATAAGAACATAGGCTTGACAATGGCTGGGATTCCAGTATTAAAGACTGGACTGACACAGGTGAGGTACAGATGACCCTTGAAAACAAGAAATCCTTGGCTTACAGCGGCCAAGCATGTCAATATTAAAGTGATTCATCTGCTAATTAGTATACTTTTAATGCTCTCTACTAAATTAACAAAAGCAAAGAAACTTACCAGTGCCATTTTTAAATACACTAAATATGTTAAGGTTTGATAAAAAACATAAAGTCTTCAAAAATTACATTTTTTTCACATAACACCTTCTGTTTTAGTACCTATGAGATGCTACAACAACTCAGTAATGTGCTATTAATCATCATTCTCATTATTATTGAATTTGCATTAGGGCTACTGCGATAATTCCAGGAACTCAGTAGATACTTTGGGAGTTGTTTAAAAGACAACTCTTACACACTGTAAAATATACAAAACTATAGCTGCCAATTCAAGTGCACAACAGCCTCAGTGAAATTCAAACTGGGCTTTCAACAAACTGAGCAATTCTTTCAGTTGATTATCTGGAAATGCAAAAATAAAAATAAAAATAAAAACAAATTGTTTAGACTTGCTACTTTTTGTGATTTTTAATTTCTTCCTTAGGAATTCAAAACAACATCTCTGCAAGTGTTTGCATGTGTATTTCTTGGCTAAAGTCCAGGCAGGATGTGATACATTTTGTTTCCATCAAAAACACTGTGGCTTGTGCAAACAGAGAGGAATCCAAGCCAAACTTCATCAGAACAAGAAAGGCGCCACAGTTAATTCCAGATGACTGTATTTCCCGCTAAATTCAGGAAAGCTCAACTATTTCAGCATATCATTGCTCAGAGATTACTGACCTTTGTTGTGCGCCTCCAGTTGTGACAAGGAATTCACAGCCACCTTGCACAGTGCGCAGTACAACAGCTTCTTGGCCTTGTCCTCCTCAGTCTCTGGGTTGGATGGGCTGTTTGAAGCCGAAATGCCAACGGCTCCTGAAACCGGGGTTCCTGATCCAACCTGCTCTGAGTTGGTGAGGCTGCTCCCGCAGCCTGGGGAAGAAGAGGTCGGGGGGACCAGTGGAGGAGTAGGGGTGGGAATGAGAGGGCACACTGATGGCACAGGGGAGTCCATGGGTGGGGTAGGTGGGGTTTGAAGAGGTGGAAGGGGCCCCGGTGCCAGTAAGGGTCCATTTATCCGTGACATAGGCCGTGTTTCATCTAAAAAAAAAAAACCCAAACAAAAACAAAACAGACAAACAAAGGAAATTATAATGAAAGTCACATCCATCCATCCATTGTCTTCTGCTAATCCTTACCATAGCTGGAGCCTACCCCAGCTTGAAAGTAACATATTAAATGTAAAACTAAATAACTAAATAAAGATGATTACGAAGAACAAAGAGTTCACAAGTCAAACAGCAATAAAAAAACATGTGTAACCACATCCCTACCACTCCCAATTAAATATGGAAGCCAAAGTCTGCTCTATAGATCAGAACAACCAACATAAAGCGCATAAAGCACATTTAGAAGTGCTTTTTATTTCCTAAAATGCAACCCATAATTGGTCAAAAGAGTTCCTTTTAATTTGAGTTACACATAAAGTAGATCAGAGGAGGAAACCATATGACCCAAATATAAGAACGGATGGGCAAGCGTTTAATGTTTCCAAGCTTTTTGAAGTTTTCAAGTCAATTTGTCAGTGCTGTGGGCTCATCTTATTGAAATGTTTCCAAGGAAGCAGATAATTGAACCTGAGCATGTTTTGGCTTTTCCCCTCTGTCCCACCCCCGTTATTTTTGGCTGGGATAGAAGTAATAATGGCATTTGCTTTGTCAACGAGCAATACATGCAATCCAAAGAAAATATCTTTAAGTGAGCGCTCCTCTCACTTTTTCTTTTCCATGCCCTCTGATTTTCTTTCTATAGCTTCCTCACTGCACATGTTCATGGTTACATTTTCTGTATTTATCGCACAACATGTTTATATACAGTATATGTTTCAGACTAGCCACCCACATACCTTTGAGCTTTCGGCATTTACTAAGCACTCAGTGTTAGCTGAAGAAAGACATCTAAATTTGGATGGAGTATTCAGAGCTACCCTCATTAGCAGGGACTATAAGGTCTTTCTCCAAACTCCACTCCACAGGATACAGCGTCAAAACCAGGTCTCTATGGATTAGGGTACTAAAGGGATGATATATGATATTTTCTGGGAAGAAAACAAAAATTCACTCTAATTGCTTAACTTCCTTTTATAGATTCTATCATGCGTTCACAGAGCATGTGATTTTTTCACATGGCAGAGACCATGATATGTTTATCTATTGTTCCACTTTTAGTCTTATGACTTTATATTGTTTGGTATATTCTGACCTGGCTACCCCATTGCATCATCTCTCATGAAGATGCCATTGTAAGTGCTTTCCATTCCACTACTTTCCAAGATTAGAATTCCCTCTCTTTCCAGATTGGAAGTTTCCAGCTGCAGAGCTGCTGGCTGCACAGAGCATTTCTCAAACAGATGTTCCGTTAAAAAGAAGAAAAAAAGGACTATCTCTAGCTCTATGTGGCATTGAGGATCCCATAAAGCAGTCCTGGATCAAAGTGCTGTTTGAGGTTTATGACTCATAATATGCCCACTTTTTCACAGCACTGACTGAACATGTTAAGTTGAGTAAAGAGCTTGTACCTGTAAGTGCAAAAAGGCAGCATAACAGAAAAACCAAAGTAGTTATCCGCACTGTTATGAGCTTTATGCACACTTAGGCATGTGTCTGTGCAAAGAAATGTTAAGAAACAAACCCCAAATCCACATCTATAACATTTGGTTTTGGTTAAAATCAAGTGGGAATGGTGTTGGCTGGCCAAATAGTAATGAGGGACATCATGATCCATGATGGCCTGGAGTTCTGCCACACCAAACCAACATCCAGTCACTATTGCACCTTACACAGCACTACGGTAAATGTGTCATGCACTTTTCCCCCTTTAGGCTTCCAGGCCAAAACAATTCACAATCCACTGAAAATCATATTTCATTATATTAAATATTTTTATGTCATTTTTACTGACTAAAATTTAAATCATGAAACATCCTCTCAGGGTAGCAATACAAAGCACTATTTTTTCTTACCCCAAGATTCCCACTGTCAGTTACTCCATTGTTTAAGAGTACAGGATACTCTCTAATGAGACTTGGCTCTCTATTGGCTAACTGACCATTCTCTCTGCTAGCTGACCTCAAATTACAACAGAAGACAGTGTTATTCATGGGGAGAGGTCAACAGAAGGATAACTCAATCCAGATGCTTTACACTATGGCCTGCTATCCCTGTATTGCCTTGAACCACTTCAGGAAATTAAAGCTGGTATGGTATGCTGTCCATGTGGAAAAGTTTTGTTGTTTAAGCTGCAGGATTTAATACAGTGTTTTCTTCAATCCATATCCTTAATCCCTATTCCTGAAGTGTGAACATTTATTTTGTCTGATATAATATTATTTGATACAGCATGATGTTTACACACCATATATAAAGCACATAAACTGCATGTATGTGGCTGTGGCTTGGGAAGCAGTGCAGGTCACCTACTAATCGGAAGGTTGGTGGTTGGTGGTCTGTGGTTCGATCCCTGGCACAGTCTCCAGACTGTATCTTTGGGCATGAAACTAACCCATATGAATATGTGTTAATGATAGATAGCACTTGCATAGGAAAAGCAGAGGAAAAAGTGCTTGTTTAAATGGGTGTGAATGGGTAAATGAGCCAAGCTGTAAAAAAGTGTTTGACTTAGAGTAGAAAAGCACTATATAAAAACCAGTCTATTTACTGAAACAAGAGAGTTATTGTTGGTATGATTCTGTTGTGTGTAGGTGGAAAATTACACAGGGATACTTTTGCTTTGTTTACTTTAAATGCCAAAAGAAACTAATGTAATATAATCCCCACCCTCCCCCCTCATGGATCCAATGTTCCCCCACCCCCATAAAAAGATGCTTGCAGTATTTAGAGTTATAAGTCATCATCTTACTTGTCAGGCAAAACTGCCAGGAGGTTTACGGCAGGACTAGTGTACTGACTTTAAGTGTGAGCGGTTTGTCTCTTTGTGTGTGTGTTACATGTGTGCCATGATTAGGCAGGATGACTCTGAGTGTCACCACTGCCCCATCATGCCCATTCTCAATGATTAACGAGCTAGGAAACTCAATGCTGGCCTTACAAGAGTTGAGCCACATTCATAATGCATTTGGGTGCCTTTTCCCTGTCTGGCCTGCATCCGAACCCTGAGTCATACACACACGGACACACACACACACACATAAACACACCCACACAGTCATCCCATATCAGGTACTGTTATTTCAGGCAGTTTCATCAAATAATTCACAAAGGAGGTAAAAAGCTTGTGAATTCCCAGATTTCCTCAATTAGACTCAAATGCTAACAATAAACAGACAGAGTATGGAGCAAACATTAGCTCAGTGTAACTCAATACTACAGTCACCTCATAGCCATGCAATTTGAACCCTCACATGAAAGTCATCTGTTTAATTGACCTTGGGTGTGTGCGCCTGTGAATGTTTGTGTGGACCAAAGAGTGCTATAATATCAGGGTGGTTTTAACAGAGCCCCTCATTAGGATGGGAGTGTCAGACGGCAGAGGGAGAAAGAGGAAAGGAAGGAAGGAGGGAAGACCAGAGTTTCTCTCCAGTACAACAGCTGGCTCTCCATCACTTGCAGGCTCAGCCAAACCTCAGCTCACCAGTCCAAATTTCTCAGAGCCAAGTCCCTCCTTTTTTGGGGACAACGCTAACCACATATCCTTTGACTGGTGTAAAACTCACGACCTGCTCTGAAAATCTGTAAGGTTCAAGAAGCACTCTTTAAACAATATTGGATAACCTATCACTGTTTCGGCCCTCAGCAAGTTTGTATATGTACTCTGTTTTTGATATGTTAATCACAAATTATGGTGAATTCTTTTTCACAAACGATATATCTGATAGTAGCCCAGACTATCTGAATGTCTAAAATGACATTGATATTGTATGAAATCTGAGAGCAACAAAGAAGCTGTTGATAAGAAATGTTGCTCAGCATCAAAGACAAATACTGCTCTATGTTATGAGGTGAATTCCACCAAAACTCCACAGCCCAAAAAAATGTCTGTTCCCCAGACAGTAGTTTCCCAGTTTTGAAATGGACATCTGGCTCTCCTCTGAGAGACCCCCCCGCCCAACCACTGAGATCACACTCAGGGCATGCATACACGAACATATATACACACAAACAAGCATGCAAAAAAATCAGGAAGAGGCAAGGTTCCAAGGTCACAAGAAAGACCCTTGGTTGGAAAAAGGCATTTTTCACATGTTGCTACTTTCAGAGCTCGATCATTGCAGGCTTGTTCGGCTTCTCATGATCTAGGAGTTCACTGCAGGAAGCTTCACTAATGAGGACTTATCTTAGCTGACCTTAGATCCCCCATGAGGGAAGACAGCACAAAGGACTGGCCTTGGTACTTGCCTGAGACTAACTATAAGAAAACCTTAAGTGTTATGTTCATGGACAGAAAGAGACACTGAAATGTGAAAACCTTTGCTTCTTCGCTCTGGCATGCTGCATTGAGGCTTTTTCTGGACCTGAGTTTCATCTTTTAATTTATCGTGTTTGCTCTGTGCCCTCCCATCAATAAGGTGGAAATGTCTGGTAAACAGTAGGCTACAGAAACCTTTGTAAATGTCACCAAAACACGACTGGTCTGTTCATTGGCTGGCGTTTGATCCGAGACCAGAGTGGTGGCACTAAGGGAATGGAAATGTTTGGTGCACAGAGAAGAATGGCAGACGCGCACAGAACCCAGCCTCTAAATTATACTGTGAAATGCAAAGATGAACCAGAGGGATAAAGGAAAGACTAAGACAACGGGAACAAAGTTAAAGATCCTTTGCTAAAGAAAGATCTTGCACTGCTTTGATCACGCCTTGCATCATATTAACTAATAAATTAATCTGCTTACAGTTAATTACTTTTCATTAAAGTCAGATCAGCTGCTGTTTCTGTCCTTTTAAAGGCTGGATGAGATTTTCGTTTATTCCTTTGTCTTAATCAGTCTTAGGACTCTTTACTGACAAGTGGATGGTCAGGCAACGTAGTCTATGTTGAATGTGGTATACATGGTGTGGTACCTCCCACTAGCTTACTACTGTACAAAGACACACCACACACCACAGAGAGGTTGATGCAGAGAAACTGCCATGTTGCCATACCATGTTCTCCTGCTCATAGACTAAATGGATTGACACAAACCAGATTTAGATTGAACAACTAAATAAAGTCTTGCTGTTTATCTTGACTAACACAGAAGATTAACTCTGGCACAGTAATGATGATTCGATCAGCCTTTCATGTCATGTTTGATTTCAGTGTAAGAGGTCTACTTCTACTACACCCTACTGTGACTGAAAAGGATTTTTTTAAATGACCAAAAGTTTTGAAGCATAGTTGGGAAAAGCCAAAATAGTCTGGATGTCAGTGGAAAAAAGAAAATTCATACAAACTTTGTGGCATATTGTAATTGTTTTGAATGGGAAATAGACTCCTGAATATCCTCTTGTCTGAAAAAACGAATCCATTATGAAAGACTCTGGCCAATCAAATTCAGACCTGATCAGGTGAGGAAAAGCAGAGCTTGAATCCCACATGAAGCCAAAAGTCTGTCTTTTATCAGACTGGACATACTTTTATTAGGCGGGGTATTGGGAAAGAGAGTGGAGAGCTGCAGGAGGAGGGCAGTCTATTTTCAAATTTTGTTGGGGTTGTTTTCCTTTTGTATAATTCTGCCTACTTGAGCTTGAAGGCTCAATTAGGTTTAATAATATATGTTTTTGTGACTAGGCATTAAATTAATTTGAACTTATTGCTTCAGCTATTTCCAACTCCTAAAGGTCAAAGCAACTTTCCCGATATTCTGAATTTCAACATTTTCATCTGAACTCTCATTACAATTATAGTTAAAAGACTCCCCCAATACTGGCAACTAAAAAATGTGTTCAGCTATTAATCTTCCAAATTAAATGTTTATTTTTTAGATTTTAGGTGGGACAGTCATTATCAGTCTCAGCAGTTTGTGGAACCGCACTGTCTACTATAAGATGTGCTGCGGCTAAATCCGACGACAAATAGAGACGAGATGCTCATAAAAACAGCAATACGCTGCGGAGCCACTGTGATTAGACGCTTTTGTTATTCTTGCATATTTTTCCATTCATTTTCTGACAAAGACCATAAGCTGCCGAACATCCTGCGTGGACTGAAATGATTATTTCAACAAGGTTCCTCCCGAGCCTTTTCCCAGTTTTTGCTTGTGGCAGTAGTTTTCTGTTCTCTCACCTGCTTTGCTGGGCTCACTGTCTGGGGCTGTGCCAGGAGCTCCAGGCGGAGATGGGGAGGAGGTGGGGGGCAGGGTGTGAGGTTTGTCTCCTTCTTGAGGACGACTCTTAGAGGTCTCGATGCCTTTGACTCTCCTGGCATGGCGGTTCCCTTTGTAGTGGGCTTCTGCCTGGCTCTAAAGAAGAGCATGGAAAGGAAAACAAGTTATTTCATTAGTGAACACCGATGCCAAGATGCCCAGGTATATAACAGGGTGGAATTAGACTCGGTGTGGCACCTGGCATGCATGCATGCCATTATGACAGCACGATATTTAATATACTCTGGGGACTAAAGTCATGATGAGCAGCAGGCAGTGAACAGAGAGATAGATTACATGCAAGATATTAAGAGAGATGCAATGATGAAGTGACTGCCTGCCCTCCTTGTCCCCTTATTTGAATTAAGAACAAATTATGAAGGTGTGTGTTGAAACATTAACAGTATCGGTTATGTGGAGGATTGGCTGAAGTTGCCATGCCTGCTAACTAAAGGATCAGGAAACTGCCATATAAGCCCGGAGGGCGCATTAGTCCATTTCTAAGCCTTCCCTTTCTTCCCTTTCTTATGCACAGTCTTGGAGAATATACATCATCTACTTACTACACGGCATCAATGCTGTTGTCTTTAATATCTGGCAGGAAATATAAAATAAGGATCTGCACGCTCAGCCGGCATTCCAGCAAAGAGAAAAAATGCTGCAGAGATTTATTATGGAAGTCACTGTGTCCAATCTCCTGATGACATGCTCTCTACTGCCTAATGTGTTTGCTCACTGAGTAAACAAGCGAGTTATTTGTGAAGAGAATATGGGACATTAGGGGAGTCTGTTTCTAGCCTCTGTGTTACTGCACAGATGTTTGGAAGTCGGGTAAAATGCGACGTATGTGATGCGGGGTTGCTATACATAGCTGTCTGGCTTCACAGTATGGTGACTATAAAACAGAAACACACGTTATTTCACTGGCTCACTGACTCCCTCTCACACACTCACACTCACACAAATATAGGATTATGGCCCCTTTTTTCATCACCCCTCTCTCACAGTATGTGTCCAACTATGAAAAAATAAGTAGCTACTTGCTGATACAGACATATTCAGTCAGTACTGCACTTGTAAGTGAAGTGAACTGATGTGCCATGGCACGTGCTGTGTCGGCCAAATGATTGCATCAAGGGACCAATGATGAAGATATTTATTAAGTAGCAGGATTACAGTTGGTTACCAGGGATGAGTCATTGACAGCTGCCTCAGGAATTTGACTGACACTTAGGACATCGTGCTGACCAGAGGCTCAAGTGTGGCGATAGACTGGCTCGGCAAAACAGGCAGGGGGTGATGAGTAATGTTACCGAACCCTGTTGTCTATATTTGCTTTGTGTGTGTCTGTGTGAGTGTGTGCCTGTGCCTGGCAGCATCTATCAAACGAGCTGGCATGGCAAACACTGAGCACGGGCTGAAGCAAGTAAGAAGATCACATGTTTCTTTTAAACCAAGATGACACATCAGGCTGTAACTGTACCCTGTCAAAGGGGTCTTAAGGACCTGCACTTGCAAAGCCTACAGATCAAGGTGGAGAGAGCTGCATGCAGGCAGAAAGGGGTGGAGGTGTAGACTGCTGAAAGAGAAGTAATCTCTCATGATGAAGAGGGGAATGTGGGAAGATTAAAAGGTATATGGCAGTGCGTGGCAAAGCGGGCACAGAGGTTTTCTTGACTTCTCCCAGCAAGTCAAAGGGATCAACTACCAAGCAGCTGAGTGTCACTGTGAGGTCCTGGGCGGAGAGGAGGGAGGGAGAATGAAGGGAAAAGGAAGCACAGGGAACTGAAAGTCAGAGAAGGTAAACGCAAAAAAAGCTGCTCTCAGAATGGAAAGGATATAAAGAGACACAAATCTCAGAGAGAATAAAAACTGCACCACGCCAGTTTGTGATGCATGTGTTTCATTATGCAGAGAGTTTGAAGTGAACAACTGCTTTCCTACATGATCATCACTCTGAGGGGGGAGTTGTGTTATTAAAGCAGAGCTACTGCAGAGCTGCATTTCTAAAGGAAGAAATAGGAAGAGAGGGAGAAAAAGAAAAGAGAGACAAAAAGCAAGCAAGAAGCGAAGTGAATATGGTTGGAGGAGAAAAGATAAACGTGACGTGAGCAGGGAGGAAGCGGATGAAAATAAGAGATGCATATCAGCATACTGCAGCAGTTGTGACGCTGGTCAATGCAGCTCCACAGAGCCTGTGATGTCACTAATGCAGCGTGGCATCAAGGTTATTCTGCATAAACCACCATTAAGTTCTTTACACGGACACACACAATGCAGAGACAATGGGGCACAAACTGCCTCCCCCCTTATCCTTTCCTCCTGCCCCTCCCCTTCAAGTCTCCTCTCTACCACTTTCCCAACATGCACTGGGGCTGTCAGAGCCAGACACTAATCCATGCCCTTGACGAATGCATCTTATAATAAGTAGTGGCAGGCAATTTTGGGCATTTCCACACAGTAAATAATGCAGCATGAGAGAGGGAGACAGCCAGCAAGAAGGGGAAAGGGTTCTTTGGAGAGAGAGAGACAGGCAAAAGAAGAGAGAGAGACAGTAGAGAATGATCATATGGGATGAAAGAAATGATGGCGAAATGATGTGGGAAATGAAGAGAACGTGGGTGGGAGACAGGAGGTGAAGCAAGACAAATACAGTAGCCATGACATTCCATAAAAAGCCCACTCGCTTTCTTCTTTGACCCAAAATGTTTTCAGCTCACATAAAGGAAAAGAATGTCTACATCAAGGACAGTGCCCGAGCTTGAAAATGAAGCTGAGGATGCAACATCAGATTCTCCTGAAGTATTTCTCACTGCATTATCTTCATCCATCATATATTCATTTGAATTTGATTTCACTAGCTCAGAGGCCCACGTCCTCATTTTAGGTTTGACAGCGTTTTAGTAGGTAAGTGAATGCTTTGACATGAATCGAGCTGCGGTTTGGTGAAAGGCCTCGAAGGGGACTGGCAATGGCTCCCGGGCCCGGCAGATCCCCACGCACTAAATAGAAATGAAGAAGTCAAAGAATTGAGAACAAGGAGGGAGGAAGGGTGGGGCACGTAAACGAGAATGAACAGCTTGCAGAACTGGAGGAACCTATATAGATGACAACCGGAAGGAGCGTGTTTGGAGAATACATAATCTCCAAATAAAAACAAAAATACTGGCATCTGCCTGTATTCCTCTCATTCTCCCAGTAGATACATAAATGGTATCAATTTAAAAGTTCTAAATAGCCACATTCTGGACTTATCCCATTCACAAGAATTTAAGGAAACTTTGACCTTGGGGACGAGATCGCTGTGATTCAAACTCGCCTGAGATTTTAGTAGATACACCTATGCTTTCAATTTAAAGCTCCTACATTGCCTCATTCTCAAGTGATCGCATTCACAAACTTGTCCACGCTGCCCACTCGCCCACCCACCCTGCAAGACTGCAAGTCTGACATTGATGATGTACTGCAGTATGTTTTTACCTGTCCAGGTAATGGGAGTTAAAGCTGATCTGGAAAAACACTAACTTATTAACAAGACTTTTACTCGATTAAAGGGACAGTATATAGCCGAATTAAATTTACATGATATATCCCCCTGCTATCTACTCTCCTTGCAGTAATACTGCCAGAGGGCTTAATTGCTCATTGCTTATTGTATATTTGATGAGGTGTGGACATAGGCATCCCCAAGGTCCACTTGGACTAGACTTTTTGCCAGATCTCATTGTGGGCTGTAAGCTTTAGCTGAGATTTTTATGTCATTTTTAAACAATAGCTCTACAAACTCTGTCAGTTTTTACTTTATGTTGTGGCTTTTGAATCGGTCGTAACACATATTTTACTTGGCTTGTAGTGTTGTTTATCCATTTACGTTATTTTGGGTGAGTTTTGGCAATGTTAGTTGCTTTGCATATTTTTGACAGTAACAACATCTTTTTCTAGTAGCCATCAAAAAAACTTTGTTGTGTTTTTCCAAACTACAGCCACCACACAGGCCCTGCATCCACCTACCCAGAATGAGAAACATACTGATGCTGGATTTGAAAAGAAAAGTATTTCTTTGATTCTCTGACCACCAAATGCTCATCTGTTTTATTAGATTCAAGAGAAAGCAGACATCTCTACAGCCTGATATCTCCCAAACTTCGCAACGCACACCACTGCACTAAACACTGATATAGTACTAAGGGAAAAAGAGTCACCTTTCCCTGAGCAGAGAAGATCACGCCAGATACCACTCTCAAGCTGACGTCAGTGAATAACAAAGAGAAGAAATTAATCTCTGCAGGGTGCTGGTGTAAAGATCATTCACACATGAACATGGCTTCCAAGCAGAAATGCTCCCTGCATACTTCTAAATAATTGCGCCTGCGTTGGTTAAATTTTAACCTTCATATGATTTCAGGGGACAGCAGGTTAGGTTCTTCACAGCAAGTACCTTCTTGTTCTTTAGGCAATATTTTAAATATAAAATCTAATATTCAAAGTCTTCAGATTCTTTATTGATTGTAACTTCATACAAAAGAACACGTCTTAACTAAAAGTCAGTATTGGCTCTCAATCCTTGGGTCTTAAAGTATTCCATTATATAAACATCTCGAGTTAACTGTTTCCTGTTTCTTGTGAAGATATACAGGACAGATCCCGGCTAAGAGAAGCTTCATGATTACAGCCTTGCAGCTCCCTGACCACACGGAAACCATGATTGTAGATCTGATGTGTATATATAGCCCTGACCCACTCCTTAATGTTGTGTATTGTGGATGGTTGAACGCCCTGGCCCTGAAGTCTGCAACACTGAATAGGGAGTGTTGCAGCCAAATTATACACTACACATATGACATTTGGTACTGGTTTTGTCATGGGTCTATCCTATTTGTTGACACAAAAAAGGAAAAAACAGAAAAAATATTTGGCATCACAACTCATAAAATACTTCCATATGATTTTTTGCTTTCATTAATTTGTCATCAGTTGTGTCTGCGAATTGCCCGAGGGTATAACGTGCAAATAAATTCCAATTAGGAGTTCCCAATTAATTAAGCTTTTTAAAGTTTAATATTTTCTATAGAGAGAAATGGAAATCTACAACTTTAAGATCAAACTTATCAGTACTGATGAACAACAGAAAATCCAGAATTTTATTCCTCGTTCACACATTCGTCAGGACCGCTTAAGCCTCTGTGCTGCAGTGCACTACTTTAGTCTACGCTGCCTTAAAACAAATTAAATTCCAGTCAGGTCGCAACGGCCAACACATAACCCAAACAAATGCACCACATCCGCTTTGTTAGTTCCAGCTTCCAGGGGGAGCAAACCAGGACAAACAGTCCTCCGAAACAAATAAAAGGTTGATTCTTACTTAGAGAAAAATAAAATATTTTCAGTGCCAGAAAGAAAATGAAAACAAGATGAGAGGCAGTGATGTTGTGTGTGTGTGTGTCGTCATTTATTTATTTACCTCTGAGTTGAAGCGGATCTGGCAGACGTTACAGGAGATGACTGGTCGCTTGGTCTTGATCAGAGGAACTCCAAATGTGTGGTTGATCACAGCCTTTTGCACCGGGTCCATCTGCCAGAGTGAAAGACAGAGAGCAGCTATAATTCACACTGATGCCACAGCTCAATGGGCCAAGCTGTCATAACGTGCAATAGACTAAACCAAAATGACCACATGCAGAATGCATAAGGTTCACAGTTAAAGAGCGGTTACAGAGTCTGTTCGATGATATCTGTAATTCACTTCAGCAAACAGTGGTCAGCAGTGTTGACAGTTTGTTGCTACAACCGAGACACCTGTTGCATCCCCACGATTAGGAATCTGATGGTTCTGGATCCTCACTACATTGTAGTATAATACTGTCCCTGTGCTAATTGCTTCAGCTGGGACATCCATCATCTCTGTGGTGTTAAGCACCTTGTATAAATTTAACTAACTTGCTTAGCAGCCCTCAGTAGTTAAGCTGCCCGTATAAATTCTGTCCCAGACACAAAAGACCCGGCCCGTACTGGACTGTTTGTGTTTGAAGCCGAATTTATCAAGCAATCACTGTTGGTTGACCTTAGCATTACTCTGGATTCGGTGGCTGGCTTATATTTCAACCTCAGACAACTGCCTACAGCTAAAGTAAGCAACAATCATAAACAAAGACTGAAGTAGCAGTGCGCGGGGATGCAAGAAGAATGAAGCAAAAAAATCCGTGGCCTGAAGAGCAAAAGGATACAAAACTTTGTATTTTGAATTCAAAAGACAGCGAGGAAACGTTCAAGTGTGTCCACCAAGAGTAATGAAAGCATAATGCAGTGCCAGGCAGATGCAAAATAACTCACTTTTGATTCATTACTGTATTTTGGACTATTTACTAAGCTTTTCTTTAAGCCTTGTTACACTGAGAGGCACAGTCTCATCCAATATAGAAGCAGCTCAACATCCCGAGGAGTGAAGGACAGGATAGAAGGGGCTTAAACAAATATTGTTGTTACTTAGACTCAAATAAGTTTTGTTTTTTTTGCACAGTGCTCGTTGCTTGGCAACTCCCAACAAAAAGAAGCAAAAATAAAGAAAAATAAAAGATCAAGGGGAGGAGCCTCAAGACATTTCAGCCACCCAGCTGTGGCCGGAAGGCACAGAAACATACCATCTGGAGGAGAGAATGAGTGAGCGAATGAGAAAAAGAAGAGCAGAGAGTTGGAGGGAAAGAGAAAGAGGCCCAAGTTGGACATCCTCACATCAAGCATGCTTATCTCTTTTCCACGTTCCAACACTGTCTCTGTTTCTCTCCCAAGAAACTGTATAAAGAAAGCTCTGCTGCTCTGGCTGTGAGGACAGATTAATGGGGAGGGCTGGGGTGGGGGTGGAAGATATATTGACCAATTACAAATGTTTACTGCGTGAACATCTAAACAACAAGAACTAAGCTTTAGCCAGCACAAACTTCCACACCAGGACTGCATTAAGCTTCCTATTAATTTTTAAAAAGTGACACTGTGTTTTATCAAATCTTTCCAAAGTGTAGAAAAATTTCTTTCTCTCAGTGTCCATAATGTGACCCAGACTAGACAGAGTTTAGCAAGAACTTGAACCTGCCTGGTGGCGTAACCGCATGAATCATGGGCTTCTCCGCAGTCATTCCACCAGTCTGGGTGTGGGTCAGTTATGACCCATCCAGTTAATTCAGCTGTTGAAAACACAGTCCAGCTGCCAGCAAATGTCTTTGGAATGTTGCTCGCATGGCCTCTTCTCCAAACGCTCTCCAAAACATGTTCTCATGAAATAGGAGGAGAGCACTATGATGTAACTGCAGAGGGATTTTCCAAAACTCGCTCGTATAATTTTGTGAACATCCATAACTGTAACTGTACATTCTCATAAAAAAATAGAAAGCAAACATATTACAAAGTTTACATTTATCTGGGAAAATAATGGAAACTTCATGTTATTGTGGAGCTGTGTGAATGTGGTGCGGTAAGCAAAGCACACAGACCGCAGACCGCTGACTTTAGCATCACTCGGCAGTCATGTCAACAGCTCCATGCAGCCTTAAAACTCCAAACACTCAAATATCACCCAAGCATCATCCAACACTGCACAATGACACACGTCCTAACTCACCAACATCCTCTGTTCTAGAGTTTCTTTTCATCTTTCATTTTCTACAGTTCTGATTTTCTTCCCATTCTTTACTGTGTTTCCATTCGGTCTTAGTTAGTCTTTCTTTAGTTCGTTTGATCAGCTAAAACCCACCAGGGGAGAGTGCACTACAGCATGACTCTCAGTAGAGCCATTGTGACAGTCACAGTAAGGTCCACACTGTGCCAGACGAAAACAGCCTTTGAAGCACAAATTCAGCATTACGTTTAAGCTGGCCCAGTTTAAGACACAGTTGGACCGACAAAAATGTGACAAGCTCTTTGAATTTTAGGTACTTACCTTCATCTCCTCTTTGTCTGTAGAAGCTTGGAGCTGCATTGGTCCTCCTGTGTGTGTACTGCTGGCCGAGGTATGTGTTTGGGTCTCAGCATGTGCAAGGCTCAGAGCTTGTGGTGCACTATCCTTACTCATTCAGCCTGTTTGGTAGGTGGTCAACACTGAATACAGACTAGCTCCCAAAAACTGAGCTTATGCCTAGTGAAGCATTGGTAGCTGCGATATCTTTATTTCCTTTCAGCACACCGTCTGCTTCTCTTTTGAGATGCTTTAAGAGAAATCTCTCCCTTACTTCTTTTTTCAACACATGACCTAACAAGTGCCTGTCCCTTTTTTCAGTCTCCTCCTCCTCTATTCTCAACTACATTCCCTCTCTGCCTCACACTCCACTTTAATGCACTTCCTTCTCTGCTTTCCAGTTTTCTCCTCCCTCTCTCCCTCTCCCTCTCCCTCTCTTCCCCATGGTCTGTCAGTCTGCCCATGTGCACCCAGGATTATGTATCCTACTCTTGTCCTGCCAAACTCTCACTCTTCTAGGAGTGCTGAATAGCCTTGGTATGGATATTGATAATAATTTACTGATAACAGTTTTTTTTTTGATCAATTATGCTCATAGGTCAGGTTCTTAGCTAATCAACTTCTTGATGACTTTGCTGTTTAGGCTTCCTTTAGGTTTTCAGTGTAAGTTCAGCTTTGTTTTTACTACCTATGAGCCAGAGCTGAGGTTCACATGTGGCTCAGGTGTACAAGAGCGCCACAGCCGTGTCCTTTCAAGCTGCTAGAAAAACATGCGAGCACTGATAAAAGGAAATGATAAAGCGGAAGGCCTACAGTCCTGATGAACTGGAGGAGGCAGAGCAATTCCCATCTTTAATTCACACCATCCATCGAATGTCGTCATCCACCACTGTAGCCGGCATCTCCCCCACAAACCCAGAACTCACACTTGCATGAAACTCTAGCTAGACAAATATTTATTGGATGTGACATATTCACACCAAAGTGATGACTGGGCCACATGTGGTGCTGGACAAAACATAAATGTGCACTGTTTAGATAATGAGCTATTAGTCATGTCTTGCTGTACTACAATTATTTTTGTTAGGGGGAGAGTGAGAAAAGATATATATAGTAGTTAAGATTCAACAACTGCACATGATTATACTGGACCAAGAAGTCATGTGATTGTGTAGCTTCAGCAAACAGTGCAGGCAACACAACTCTGAGTTTTACTCAGAGTTTTATGAGCAGTTTTATGTCTGTATCAGTACCAGCTGATGCAGATAAATAATTCAGCCTCATCATTGTCTACAGGCACATTGCACGAGACAGGCAGGTGGAGGACAAATCACATTAAAGGACTATTAAAAGCTGTATATGGCTTTAGGAGAGGCCATTCCTCCGCTATGGGGCTAATAACCCTCAATGTGAAGTAGAGCCTCATTAAGGCTGTACAAACTCAGCGCAGATCACTTATTAAGGCAGAATGATGGAACAACTAGCTGTCAGCTCACTGCATTGCTGTACCTTCATTGGGATATTTTGTGGATCATAATGTGTTACAGTGCAATGGTGCAGAAAAGCGCCAGGAAACATCAAAAGCACTTGAAATGTTATGTGAAATAGCCCCAGTTCAGCCTAACAATCCATATAAAAACCTCCAAAACAAAACAGTATAAGATGTAAATGGAGCTGTGGGCACTTACTCTCTTATTCTAGATCTTCCTGTATAAATTTACTCATCTTCACAGCACTACATTGAACATAATAAACTCTGGGAAAGTGTAAAGCTAGGATATCCCAGCAAAACGTTAAAACAGAGCCTCATATAGGGGCAAACAAAGCGGTTTCCATATCTGCAGCATATTTACACCACATACATGCCGCATATCTAATAAAATGTGAGATTATGTCATACACTTCAGGCAACAGAAGCTCTCCTTGCAAACAGCAACAGTGATATATTAGTGAGTCATTTCTTCATGCTTTTGAATGTGCTGCGTATACTATGAGTACGCTGTAAGGTCAGAATGCCCTTACAGCTTCGCTTATGGCCCCATCTCCTGGCCACAGAGCTGTAAAACAGCACTAACGGTTACCTCGCAGTCATCAGCAGGAACACCTATTAACATTCACAGCGTCCCTGTGGGCCTTCCTACCTAGTTGACTCGTTGATAAGCAGGATTGTGAGCGGATGGACGTTACAGAATAGCTGAGAGGAAGTCCAGAGGGAGTGTTGCAGAGGCAGCAAGACAGGAAATAAAATCAAGCAAGAATGATTTTAGGGCTACTCTAACAGAGGCCAGAATGGAAACCGAGTGCCTGCATAATCTCAGTATCTCAATTAATGCATGTCTGCTGGGTGTAGTGCAGTTTGGTAGTGAAAATGCTTCCACTTATGTCATGGTCCATTGAGGCCTATTAAAATGACTATATTGTTAAAATGTGTTTAAGAGTGTCTGGACTCCTGTTACAATCCCTGTAGGGCCATGCACAGTCAAAGCTCATGCCAGATATTTCCAATTAGTGAAAGGTTATTATGTTGTCTTGTTGCAGACTGCAGCTAAATATACCAGGGTGACACATAACCCTGTTGAAGCCATGGTCCGCAAATAGCATTGCCCCAGTAGAGTACATATACAGTTCAGTGAATTTGCATATTGCTGATGAGAAATGTGTTGACATTGTTCAGCGGAGTCTGGAGGAGCAGGTGCCACATTATGCTGAGTTGGTGAAATGGTAAATGTCTCTATGGTCTAATCTAAATGCCTGAGGTAGAAGAAACAGGAAGCCTCCTCTCCTTTAAAAGAAAAAAAATATTACATCAAACAAACTGCGGCGTTTGATGTTGTTAGTTATAGGGATGGCCTTAAAACTGTTCTTTAATTATATGGCTACGATTTTACGGCTTTGAAAATAGTCCTGTTTCCAGCATATCTTAAAGCTGACTATTGCATTCAAAACTGTACGTAGAGAAGAGTGCAAGTTAAAGCATAACGGCGGTAACCTCCAGCACCCAGCACAACATTTACAATTTTGCGCCGCGCGTTTTTCTCGCTGCAGTCGATGACTTAAAAGGCTGCAGTGTTTGTGCTTGTTGTCTGCAGCAACTCTTACCGTATTGAAGTTGTGGAAGAGGCTCATGCTGTGTGGAGGAGGGGGGGTCTCCACTGGGAACTGCAGGAAGGGCTTCATGTCCAAGTGGGGTTGGATCACTGTGGGGGTCCGTAAGAATGTCGGCACTGCTGCCCCAGCTCGATTGATGCCTCCTAAACACAGAAAGAGACAGAGATACATAAGTATGCACGGTATTTTCCAGCATTCATGAGCCCAGGCTCCGGGTGTGTTTACTCAAATGTGTGACAGAGAATTTAAACAGTGTCTTTAGGTGATATAAAGAATACAAATTAAAGCAAGAGACAGAGAGAGGAAGGGAAAAAACAACAAAAACATGTGCTTTTTATAACAGGCTGTGTACAGTTGTTTCCTGGAAGGTGCAGCTGAATTCCAAAATGCACAATAATGTACAATTTCACTGCAAAAGCAATTATCTCTCTGTGGACAGAACAAAGTGACGCCCCATAGAAGCATACAGTTTCTACACAGTGAGGAAAAAAGATGCATTTGGTCAGTTAAGGGCTTTTCATTGATTGCTGCACAGATCTTCTGGTTTTCCAGACGTGTTGGCAAGACTGAATCTACAAAGTGTGACATTGCTTTAATACATATGGAATGATGTTGAGGGTTTTGTGGACTGAATGATTCACATCCCCGAAACAGGAATGCCATAAGGAAGAAAAGGATGCCACAGAGGCAGAGGGGATTCCTCTTATCCACCTGTCTGCCAGTGTGCTCTCTTCTTCTCTCCTCTCCTGGGAGACATCTGCAGCTTGATGATAATGAGTTCCATCTCAGGCAGCGCTGCTTTATGTCATCCTGTGTTGTGCACTACAGCTGGATCACTTAGTTGAGTCTAATTATAGTATGAATGAAAGAAGAAGTACCACATACTTCATTTGGCTGGATTTCTAAAGAAATTGAAAAACGCAGTCACTTAAGAAAACTACTGCAAGGGTACCCTTGCACACAGAGAGATACACATGCACACGCGCGCACACACACACACACACACGCAATATTTAATTCGCCTATAAGAAACATGTGAGGCTGCCTTAATGATACGCAGTTTCCTATTCTCCCCATTGCTCCCATCTGGCTTCTCTTCCTTTTCCTCCTTATTCCCTCTCGTCTCCTCTCTAACCTCTGTCAAGGATGATAGTGATGGGGCCCAAACAGCAAAACTCAGCCTCAGCAAGCTCTTAGATTAAGCCTCTTAATATCCGCAACTGGATTTCTATGGCTTTCAAATTCCTCCGAGACTTAAAGCTCTGCCGCTCTCCTTTTCGGGATTGCTCTAAGCTACTTTTTTTGCTCTGTTACTTGCCATCCCTCACCGTGGTTTCCACAGCAGTGCTTTTCTACCTTCCTCCACACTTTCACATGCTAATTTGGACATTATTTGACACCTCTGCGATTTCATCAAGCTTTATGTCAACTGAATGTAAACAGAGAAAATATTATGACTGCTGCTTTGAAGACTATGTTACCAGATGGAGTCGCCGAAGTTTGGATTAGAGTGAGTGGGAGAGAAAGGGATAAGAAAGAGAGAGCGGGGGGGATTGACTTTGTCGGGCTGGAGTGAAAGTGCTGTCTCAGCTGCCTTCTGCTACGCATCTGTAGGCCTCGAGGTGCAGAGGACTGCATCATTACCTCTAGTTAAGCATTTAAATTTTCTAGTCTAAACAAACCAAACATATACACATGCAAACACGTGTATGAAAGCACAAAACCACACAATTATTCTTACAACATGTGAAACAAGTTTGAGGCTTCTTGCCTGCTGGTTTTCCAGCTGGTGCAGTCTGACTCAGCAATCTTAAACTCTTTCATTTTACATTAGGTTTAAAAAAAAACTGACAGGTTTTTTAGTTTTCCTAATTAAATATGTACACTTGCAAACATGCAGAGTTCACCCTTTAATCTAAACTCCTTGTAAATGTAGCTTCTTCTGATGAAAGAGGATTAGAAGCCAGTTTGTCCCCTATCAGGGCTGCATCACTAATACAATGATTCTTCACTGCATTTATCATGGCGTCGTGCCGTGTCTCGATACATCGTCTCCTTTAGCATCTTTGTACAAGTTCACGTGCGAATGTGTGTTTTGCTTGTATGGAGTGAGACTCTGTTAGCTGAAATTGCACAGCAGTAATGTTTGCAGCTCCCCAGCGAGTCTGTCCTTGAACACTGAGACCGTTACTGGCAGCGGGTCAGGCAGTGTCTGGCAGGCTTACAGAGAGATTGGCTGAGTGGAGGGCAAAACGCGTCTCTGCAGCAGCACAAGGAGCTGAAATCCGAGGAAGTGAATGGAGCTGTGGACCAGACATGAGCAAGAAGAGCAGTTGGCCCTTGAGCCCAAGACATATGTGTGTTTGTCAGCGTGCATAAATCAGAGTGTGGCTGCACCATATATTCATCCCATTAATTTAATCTCTCTCTGGGGATCTCCTTACAATGTTAACTGAACAAATTGTTATATGGTGCAGGAGTATGACAAGTGCACAAATGCATTTTCGCAAACATATGGGCATTTTATGTGCAGTGTGTAAACAAGTGCATGTGTTTAAGTGCTCCCACTTGGCTTTTACGGACCAGACTTCAATGAAGTCAGAGCTGATAAAACAATAAATTGTAAATGAGTAATAACAAGAAGTCTCCTATAATGGCTTCTATGCAAATACTACACATATATAATTTTTTTTTGTTGTAGACAGGAGGACAAACAGAGTAAGCAACTTGGCTGTCTGTGACTGGCATTTTACAGCGTTTTCTACCCTTTAAATGACTAAAAGAAAAACAAATCAATTTACTTTAAATCGCAAAAGGCATTCACAGTTCATCAAAGAACTGTTATGTGTACTGTTATTAGTAAAACTAATTACAGCATGCAAAAGTAAGTGATGACAAAACAGGATCTTTGCTCACTGTAGTCTGATATTCCCTTCCTCAGTACTCCCTTGTGGCTGTTGGAGCCTGTTCTGTGTGAGTGTATGTGTGGTAGAAATTGACAGACAGGGCTGCCTGGAAGAGCTGAGAGAACTCAGACAGTGATTTGGATGTTGTTAAACCCTCTGACATACCAGGAATCCTACCAGGCTAACAGGGGCCATAATCAG